AAAAAAAAAAAAAAAAAAAAAAAAAAAAAAAAAAAAAAAAGAAGGCCTTCCTGGGCTGACCTCTCACTCACATGGGGAGGGACACACCTCCCATAGAAAGGCTCTGGGCCTCCAAGGCCAACACCAGCTGCCTTCCTGACACCAAGGAGGCATCAAGTGCATTCCTGGGCTCTGGTCACTACAGGCTGGCTGCCATTCCCCTAGGATGGTTCAAAGGAATATCTAGAAGCTTCAGCAAAAGGTGACAATTAATAGCAGCTCCATGGAAGCTAGGATAAAAGCTGGGGCAAAATGCAGATTTCTGAAGCCTCCGCAATGGTGCTTGCTTTGCCCCTAGAGGTCAGTGGTATGAGCCTCACATGTTGACGGTCAAGGTCTGCTTGTCAGGATGAGAAGGAAAAGTGTGGCTGCAGATGCACTGTCAGCTCTGGGACAGGAGCCCCAAGATCCAGAGAAGCCCAGCAAGTTGAGGCCTGAAGGGGTGGAGGGTTGTGGGGGCCCTTTGAGGCTTTCCTTTCCCAACCAAGACCTGCTGTGAGGACAGATGTTTAACACATCTAGACTCTCACTGGAAACCATGGGAAGCTCAACAGCTTCTGAGAAGCAGTGTTGCCAACATGACATCACCATTATCCCATCAAACACCAGCTGGAGGTCAACTAACACTGAGCCCAGACCCCAAGACAGAGAGGAAAACAGGAGGCGCATGTGTCCTCAGCGAAAATGGCCCACACTGGCTCAAGCAGTCCCAAACCTCAGAGTGTTTGTCTCCCTTCTTGCTTCAGCTCACCCTTGCCTGAATCCCTTGCAGCCCCTGAAGCACAGAGGAGGCCCACAGCCAGATGCCCAAAGCTGGAATGGAAAGGATCGATTGCAGAACCTTCCTAGTGAGTCATGGCCTGTTTCTCCTGCCTGTTCCAGACTTTTCAAGAAGCCCATGAAAAAGGGCAGGCACACATGTGTCAAGAGGACCCTCAGCTGGCTCTGGGCACTGCACCCAGCATCATGGCTGATGCCAGCCCAGGGCTCACACTGCAGGAGGAGGCCAAGAGCAGGAACAGGGGACTTGGTACCTGTTGCTGATTTTGATGATGCAATTTAATTAGATGCTGCTGCTGCTGCTGCTGCTGCTGGAGCTGCTGCTGCTGTTGCTGCACTACTGCTTGGAACTGTTGCTGCATGGCATTCTGCTGAGCCTGGAACTGCTGCTGTTGCTGCTGCTGCTGCAGCGCCGCCTGCTGCTGGAACTGCTGCTGTTGCTGCTGCTGCTGCTGCAGCGCCACCTGCTGGAGCTGCAGCTGGGCTGAGAAAAGACCAGAGTCGCCAGTCAGTCCACGGAGCAGAATCTCTGCTACAGGGCTGCACAGCAGGGGACAAAACAGCCAGCAAAGGCCCCACTGCCATGGCCGCCACTGGAATCTGAATGTTCCACTTACCACAGACAGAAAGAGAAAATACGAAGTAGCATTTGTGTTGATTTTGGAATTTCCTATCTGAGTTACTCTATAATAACCAAAGAGAAAAGAAAAGGGACAATTAAGTCTTTTGGATAGATAAGAAGCCTAGACTCTGGCAACCAGTAATCTCTCTGTCTCTATGGATTGGCCACTTCTGGACTGTTTGTATAAATGGCATCAGACATGTGCTCTTTTGTGACGTTTCTTTAGCATACCATGTCGTGGCATGTATCAACTTTTCTGTGTTATTTTTATCACCAAATAATATTCTACTATATCAGTTTCCCATGTTTTATTTATCCACTCATCAGCTGATGAACATTTGGGCTGCTTCTATTTTGTGGCTATTATGAAAACTACTCATGTGAACAGTCAATTTCAAGATTTTCTGGGGGGTGAGGTTTCTTTTGGGGTGAACACAAAAATGTTCTAAGATTATGATGGCTGCACAACTCTGAATTACACTAAAACCTACCAAGTGGAGCACTTCAGATGGGTGAACTGTATCTTAATGAGAATTATGTCTCAGTAAAGCTGTATCAAATACAAAAAGATCCTTTATATACTTTGCCCAGTTTCCTCTAATGATAACATTGTACAAAATTACAAGGTATCATAACCACTATGTATGCTCACTTGTGTGGGTGTGTGTACTAAGTTCTAGACAATTTTACCCCCGGGTGGGTTCAATCACCACCACAGTCAGCACACTGCACAGCCCCACACTGCAAGGATCGCTTGTGTGGCCACCTTTCTCAGGAACCCTGACCCACTCTCTCGAAACCAGCACAGCAGCCTTCATTTCTAAAATTTTGTCATTTCAAAATTATATATATTTCAAAAATGGAACCATACAGTATGAAACTTCTTTTTGGGATTGGCTTTTTACATTCTCCATACAGGTTGTAGTTCTAGCAGTAGTTCCTTCCTTGTATTGCCAGGGTATTCCATGGTACAAGCACCTCACAGTGTGTTTAACCATTCAAGTTGAAGGACATCTGGGTAAATGAAGATTTGGGCTACTACAAATAAAGCTGCTGTGAAAATTTGTGCATGGGTTTGTTTGTTTGTTTTCTGGTGTTTCTGTTTTTGTTTTGAGACGGAGTTTCGCTCTTGTTGCCCAGCATGGAGTGCAGTGGCACAATCTCGGCTCACCACAACCTCCACCTCCCGGGTTCAAGTGATTCTCCTGCCTCAGCCTCCTGAGTAGCTGGGAATACAGAGTGTGCACCACCCATGCCTAAGTTTGTATTTTTTTTTTTTTTTGGGACAGAGTTTCACTCTTGTTACCCAGGCTGGAGTGCAATGGCGCGATCTCGGCTCACCGCAACCTCCGCCTCCTGGGTTCAGGCAATTCTCCTGCCTCAGCCTCCTGAGTAGCTGGGATTACAGGCACGCGCCACCATGCCCAGCTGATTTTTTGTAGTTTTAGTAGAGACGGGGTTTTACTGTGTTGACCAGGATGGTCTCGATCTCTTGACCTCGTGATCCACCCGCCTCGGCCTCCCAAAGTGCTGGGATTACAGGCGTGAGCCACCGCGCCCGGCCCTAAGTTTGTATTTTTAGTAGACACAGGGTTTCTCCATGTTGGTCACACTGGTCTCGAACCCCTGACCTCAGGTGATCCGCCCACCTCCGTCTCCTAAAGTGCTGGGATTACAGGCGTGAGCCACCACGCCTAGCCTTGTGCATGGGTTTTTATGCAAGGTTTTCATTTCTCTAGGAAAAATACCCAAGAGTGTAACTGCCAAGTTGCATATTTCATTTTGGAAGAAGGTAAAATCACTTTACATTCTTACCAGCAATATATGAGTGATTCAGTTTCTCTGTCACCAACATTTGAGGCTATCACTATTCATCTTAGCAATTCTGATGGGTGTAAGATTTTTTTTTTTTTTTTTTTTTTTTTTTAGTTGGGGGTTGGGGTCTCACTCTGTTACTCAGGCTGGACTACAGTGGTACCATCATGGCTTACTGCATCCTTGACCTCCTGGGCTGGAGTGACCCTCCTCCCTCAGCCTCGTAAGTAATCATAATATAAGTAATCATAATAAATGTGAGTAAACTTTTGTCTTTCCTTTTTTCTAAGCTTCTTTGTGTTTATTGCATTTTTGTTGGATGATTGGGCTGAACTCTGTATCAGCTGGATCTCTGCATTGTATTTTTCCTATTGATTTTAAATTTTATGAATTATTTCCATTGTTTTAGCAATAATTTTTCAATTTTATCATGCATATTTAAAGTATAAACATTATCAATATTTTGGCATTTCCCAAATTTACTACTTTTTAAAGTAGGTTTTACATGTATACAACAGACCCGATATTCACGTTATATCTCCCTTCTGACTTCCATTTATTTCATTTTTTGCTGATGTTACTCTTCACAGCAGACATTCTATTAAGAAGCTGGGGAGACTTGAGGTTAGGAATAGAGCCTCCGAGCTAGGCTCCCTGAACTCAAAACCTCAACTCTGTCACTGCTCATTGCCTCAGTTTTCCCTGTTAGAAAAGACAACAATAGTATCCACTCCACACACTGGACTAAGAATTAAGTAATCTATGATGTAAGTAAAACACTCAAAATAGTGCTTGGGGTTGGGTACAGTGGCTCATGCCTGTAATCCCAGCACTTTAAAAAGCCAAGGCAGTGGATGGCCTGCACTCAGAAATTTGAGACCAACCTGGGCAACAAGAGGAGACCCTAGCTCTATTAATAATAATAATAATAGTAATAAAAATAAAAATAGTGCTTGGAATGTGACAAGTCTGTATGGATGTTAGCTTGAGCATTATTATTTTACAGAGGTAAATTTTTTTTTTTTTTTTTTTTTTTT